AGCAGACATGGCACAGACAGCTGAAGGTACTTGAGATACCAAGTGAAGTGTGTGCATTTGTGGTAACTGTGTACTTCTGGTGACTGTGCAGTGCGAAATACTATTTTTTATCAAGTTTTATAAAAATGCAGAATTTTTTTTTAAGCTATGTTGTTTTTGGGAGAAGGTACATATGTCACTAATAGAATGTCTCCAAAGCTCGATTGATGTGGGGGAAATGCCTTTCCCTTCTAGTTTTGAGAGACTTCCTCTTGGCTCCCAGGAGGAGAGATTCCCTGATGTTGACACAAAAAGCCACATTGGCACAAATGCCTTGTGGTGTGGAAAAACTAAAATTTGTTTTTATGTCCTCTTCTCCCTCTACCTTCAGCATAGACTTAACTCCCTTAAGCTCAGAGACCCGTTGGGACCTGACCCTCAGAAATTGGTTACCATTATGTCTGGAAACCTGGACTTTCCAGTGATGCTGCTGAGACCGTGTCCCTCGAGAGAGTGGCAGTTCCTTCTCTACGTTGTGGATCTTGAGACTAATTCTGCCACTTTCATTTCCTGAAAGTCAGGGTTGGCCTGTAGAAGCTGTTAAACAACATTCTAAATGTGAAGTATCAACCCTCACTCTAAGCTTTCCCTGTTCAGAGCATCAGATGAAGATTTCATTGGGTTTTGTAGTGGCTTTCTGATTTTGGTAGTCCGTTGAAGAAGGGAATTTGAAAGTTGTTGTATACTTTTAACGATTTTCTGCCCATGTCCTGCCCATGTCATACCATGGTTGTTTATGAAAAATATCTTTTAATAAAGCCAGATACAGTTTGGCTGGTGCGGCGGGCAGGGTTGGGTGGGGAGTTATTGCCCAGTGTTTGGAGGAAAAGACACACTCTTATCCTTCTACTAGAATAAGATGATGTATTTGTTTCCTGCATACCATGGTTGTTTATGAAAAATATCTTTTAATAAAGCCAGATACAGTTTGGCTGGTGCGACGGGCAGGGTCGGGTGGGGAGTTATTGCCCAGTGTTTGTAGGAAAAGACACACTCTTATCCTTCTACTAGAATAAGATGATGTATTTGTTTCCTGTGACTGCTGTAACAAACTTGGTGGCTTAAACACCACAAATTAATTCTCTTACAGTTCAGAAGGCCACAAGTCTGAAATGGGTCTCCTTGGGCTAAAATGAAGGTGTTGGTAGGGCTGCAGTCCTTCTGGAGGCTCCAGGGGAACTCTGTTTTCTCGTACAGGGTTCTGTGCTTGGTTCAGTGCTCTGCTTTCATCATCTTGAAATTCGTATAGAAATCGCACTGGATCCTGCAGATTATGTAGCTGGCTCTGCTTCTTCGTCTTCCTTACTTTCTCTGAACCCTTTCTGGTTTTTGTTTGTTTGTTTGTTTTTAACTTATCTAACTGCTCTCTCCTTGGCCCTTGGCCTTTCTGCAGCCGTTACTGCCTTATGCAGCTCCTGATTGCCTCAGACCCAGTGGTCTGCCTGACACTGCCCTGTGGCTCCCACAGCTGCATGTTCTGTTTCTGCAGTGTCATTGCTCAGTCTTTTGTAACCCTGTTTGTTCTCTCCCTTTTTTAGCAGTTGAGAACATCATAAAATCTATGTGGACTGCCTTCCATAATCAGTCCATACCATCTAATTTCAGCTGTTCTTTTTCTTTCTTTTAACTACCTCTTAGATTTTTTTCCCTGACATTCAAGGATTCTTTGCCCTGAAAAAGTTATGTTTCTCTGGCAAGAGTACGATCAATTTCCCTTTTTATTTCAAAGTCTTACTTTGGACTTGCTTTATTTGGCTCCTTGTCTTTGGAGAAATGTTTTCTTAGATGTGGCAACTTCAACAATTTCTGTGTGTCCATCATGTTGCCTCAGTCATCTTTACTTACATCACCCCCCTCCCTTCTCTACTGGGGTTTCCTGTCAGTTTACAAATGTATTCCAGTTCTCAAGTAAGTCAGTCTGTCTCTGTCTACACCCGTCACCCATGGCTCTGCTGTTCTCTCTCTCTCTAGTGCTAATCTCTAAAGGGAAATTTGGCCCCTTCCTTTCATTTTTATATCTGACTCCACTCACTCTCTAGACATTTACCGCACTTCTAACTTAGCAATGATCTCCAAGGTATCATATCATTTTTATCAGTTATCATATTTGTTAATTTTCATGTAGCTTTTGACATTATTTATGACCTTATTTTATAATCAGGAAACAATTTTAATGTTATTGCAGAAATAAATAATGGAGTAAAATTGTTGTAAATAAATGTAAATATCACCTTCTCTGTTGTTAAACATTCTCTGTTTTTGGCTTTTGCATTACATTAGATTTCCTTTTTTCTTTTTTACTGGCTTCTCCTGTTCCCTGTTATCATTTTATCTTTTATTTTTTTATAAAAAGTAGATATTCCTTTAGTCAGTATTTCTTGCCTTCTCATCTTCTGTCATTTGCTCAACCATGCCATTACTTCACTTATCATATCTATTCAGATGGTTCCCAAATGTTTATCTCTGGCTAATTATTGCCATTTTACAGATTATATTTTCACCTACTTCTAGAGTGTTCTATTACTTCAACGTGCCCAGTTTGAACTCATATTCCCTTTCTTTATCTGCCTCCTGGCCTCCCACCTTTGCTCTGCATGGTGGGTCTGTGCACACACACCCATTTCCCTGGCTCTTATTCCTGGACTTTCCCTTCTGTGTGTGGCACAGCCTTGTCTGTGCCTCCTGGGGCAGAGGCCTGGTTTTTTTTATGTTTGATCCTTTTCCTTTATGACCACATTTAGTTAGCTGCTGATTCTATATCTATTTGATGTTTATAATATCACTTGACTACATTTTCTCTTTTCAGTTTGCCCTGCTTCAGTCCTGATTCATTCGGGACCTCATTGCTTATGACCTAATGTCCTAAACTACTTCTGAAACTTAAATTGTTTTTCTTATTAGCACCTAGGTTAGGTCTATTACTTGGCCTCAAATTGTTAAATTCCCACAGGTCAATATAAGTGTCTCATGCCTATCATTCTAAAGCTCCTGGCAGTGTGACCTCAGTGCACTTTCAGTCTTAGCACTTACTGCCTCTGCACATGTGCTCCACAGACCTTCCATGTCCCTACGTCTTTACCTTCGTTCATATGTATGCTATATATATATATCCATCTTGGCCTCTCTCTCATGTCCTCTTTTTCCTGAAGCTTGACCAATCAGATATGAGTGATTAAAAGATTTTTGAAGTTTTTTATATATATATTCTGAGAATATTTTATATCTCTTTTAAGACATTCTACCATGTAATGTAGCTATTTGTTTTTTTATTTCCTCATTTATAACCTGCACGTTTATAGTTTTAGAATAGTATCTTGCTTGTAATTATTATGGAATAGTACTAATAGAAAAAGTACTAAACTAGACATAATAAGGTCTTGCTAGCTGTGTGACTTTGAGCAAGTCATTTTACCTCTCTTAGCCTCAGTTAGTTAATTTGTGGGAATCAGCATATATTAAATACATTGCAGACTGAATTCTGTATGTAAATGTAAAATTTCCTACATGTATCATTAAAAGTTTTTCTGTCCAATGTGTTTATCCTTTATTTATAATGTTTCCTTATGCAGCTGCTCTTCCCTGGAGAGAGAGAGTAGAAAATGCAGTTCAAGTTTCTTCTATTCTATTTCATGTTACTTCGAGAGAGCTACTGTTTTCCGTTCCACTGTCAGTAAATATTCTAATCAAGGAAGAGGGGGGTAGTAGGAAATAGAAGGAGATAAGAACAAATTCTTAACATGATTAGGAACATTAATGTATATTTGGTTAGTTCTGTATAATTGCAATATTATCTCAGTTAAAGAAGCTTTTAAAAGTACATTAGGTATGCCTAAGAGGATTGAAATCATATGTTCATATAAAAAGTTGTTCATATGCAGTTCATATGAATGTTCATAGAAGCATTATTTATAATAGCCAAAGGGTAGAAACAACCCAAATGTCTATCAATTGATCAATAGGTAAACAAAATGTGCTCTATCCACGTAATGGAATATGATTCAGTCATAAAAAGGAATGAAGTACTGACACATCTAGCAACATGGATGGACTTTAAAAGCATTATGCTAAGTGAAAGAAGCCAGAAACAAAGGGTCACATATTATATTATGATTCCATTTATATGAAATGTCCAGAATAAGCAAATTCATACAGACAGAGAGTGGAGCAGAGTCAGGGCTGGAGGGGGAGGGGAGTGTGCAGTGTCTGCAAATGCTGCAGGTGTCTGTCTGCAGTGATGAAAACAGTCTGAAATTAGATAGTGGTAATGGTTGCACACCTCTGTGAATAGGTTTGAAACCACTGAGTTGTACACTTTAAACTGTTGAATCTTACAGAATGTAAATGATATCTCAAATTAAAAAAAAGAAAGTATGCCAATAAGCTAGATTCTTCAGATTATCCTAAAAATATCAGGTCATTATTTCACAGTATATAAATCATATCATTTTGAAAACAGTGGAGGTCATGTAAGTAATCCTCCCCCCAACCCCCCAGTCTCTCTTTGAACAGAAGTAGAGCTAAAGGAGTGTGGAGTAGGAATCGGGATTGTGAACTGCACTCATAAACAGCTTGAGTGACCATGGGCAGGATGTTGCCGCCTTTATTCATTTGGTAGAAATGAGGACACTAATATTTGCCCTTGTCAGGGATCACTAAATTGAAGGGTTTCCAATAGGTCATAAAATTCCTGAGGTCTGGTTTTCTGACAGCTTCCAACATGGAGTCCTGTATGTGCAGATGTTTAATAAATATGTATTATGCGATAGTGCTTAAATAGAAAAAGGCATGTGAGAGTGCTTTCTGAACTTAAAGCCCTGTAGATGTGAGGTTATGGCATTAATATATTCTGCTCTGTCCGTTTGTGGAAATTAAAACCAATTCAGATATTGAACTTAATATATTATATTGCAGAAGTGCTTTGCAACTAATTTATGGCCACACTGAATGGACTTCTTTTCTAGGTCTTACAGTATTAGAACATGTGCTGACACCAAGAGTAAAGGCAACTCATGTGGCTTTTGATTCTATGAAGAATTATTTAGATGCAGTTTATGATGTTACAGTGGTTTATGAAGGGAAAGATGATAAAGGGCAGCGAAAAGAACCTCCGTCCATGACTGGTAAGTTTTTATATATGTGAAACTATATACTATATACATGTACTTGAAGCATATATGCTATATGATGTATATGTCATATATGTGTGTGAATATAGGTGTGAATGTGTAATTCGTTTTTAAGAAATAGGTAAGTGTACTTTCCTCCCTTACTTTTACTTGATAAATTTTTCAAGATGTTAATAATGTGTAACAGTTGAAATTTCATTAGTCCTGCTAAATTTCCTATTTCTTGCCTGCCATATCTGTCCTCTGGACTCGCCCATTATCGTTAACCCAGCCTCTTTCTACGAAGTTCACACATAAAAATGGGAAGCTCCATAGATGAAGGGAAGGAGTGAGGAGGGGCGCTACCTGGCAGGGTGGGCGTGTGCTCCAGTGGTCAGTGGTAGCCTCTAAATGTGCTTTTATTTATCAAAGTTTGTCATTGACAAGAAGAAAAATGGTTCAGTGTGACTTTTCTGATTTCAAAACATGCTGGGTTTTAAGGACCTTTCAGCTATTCATTGTCGTTGTCTATGTCTATGTCAGATATAACAAAAAAAAAAAAATTGAGCAGAATAGTTTAGTTAAACATAACCAAAGACATTCTTGACTTTAGAGAAATTTAAACATGGGGATAGGAAAACAAGGAAGTGTGTGGAGTTGACATCTACTTTTCAAAGTGTCCATGTGAGCTGGGATCCAGAGATAGAGCTTTGGGCTTTACATTTTTCTGTGACAGCTGTTTTCAGTTGAGCTAACGTGCTTGTCAGTGTGCTTGTACTTCTTGAAGGATCTCTTGAAGGCAGTTGCTCAAAATATGAACCACCAGCACATTTTACGTTTAACCTGCTCCTGAAGCATTCCTCTTAGTTTGATGTGCCTTGGAAATTTTATAGAATAATATTCTTAGCTTCAGTGAAACATATATAAAAGAAAACATTATTAAAGTATTTAGAAGTTAGCAAGAATAGAAATTATTTTGCCCAAACTTACACTCAGGCCCTCTGGACACAGTACTGTGCACTATTAAATGTTCTAATATTGTACTGTGTGGGTACTTTAGGTGCCAAAGATTTTTCCAAAGTGTAGAGAGTATAGCTGCAAAGTGATTATTATATAATGATACAGTGAGGCTCACTCAAGCTTTAGAAGAAAAGCTCGTTAATTGAAAGACATAGAGAGTAGCTACCTACAGTGGAAGATTTAGGGGAGAGAGTGGAGGGGGAAAGCATAGGGGCCTAAATGTGTAAAAATTGGTCATGGTGGGAGGAAAAAAATCTGAAGTAGTTGCGTCTTAAGAATGATTGCTCTCATAATTGCCTTTAACACAGAGTTAATTGTAAAGTAAGAAACTAAGGGTTTTTTCTTCTTCATTTTTAATGTAACTTTTTAGGCTATATAATGCATCAGTTTAAAAATTAAAACTATGTAAAGTATATAGTGAAATGCCTTTCTTGCTTTCCACCCTGTCCCCATCCACCTGGTCTCCTTTCCCCTTCTCCCTGGAGGTAACTCTTCTCTCAATTTCTTATGTATTATATGTGCAAATTTAAGTATGTATTCTTTTTCTACCATCCCTCCCTTATAAAAAATATAGAATATTGATAGATTTCTTTTTTTGGCCATTGAAAGAGTCATTGATATGTTTTTACATTTGAAAACAGACATGCATTTAGTTGTTCAGCAAGACTGTCCTTAGTTTATTAAACATTCTTTTTAAAAAAAAAAAAAACTAAACAAGATTTCATTTGTGAAAAACAGATATAATACCAATAATAACCTTTTAAAAATGCTGCTTTTTCTCAAATTACCCTCCTGATCATAAGAATTCGTTGGATCAGCAGTGTTCACAGTGTAAATATCCGCCTCTTCAGCCTGCTGTGCACGCGCTCGGTGTTCCAGCCCTGAGCACCTCTGCACCTGCAGTTCCTTCTACGCTGTGCCATGAAGCCTCTGCTGTGGTGGACCTGGTTTACAGTTGTCCCTTAAGTCCTCCTGCCCCTCCATACATATTCTGTAATTGAAGGCCTTGTGTAGCTGCCTCCTTTCTGAGTGAAACCCTCCCTTTTGTTGTCCTCATCCAAGTCCTGATGTCCCTCAAAACCAGCCTCAGATGACGTCTCCCCGGCATGTTTTTCTAGCTCACAGTGCTTTCTCCTGCCTCAGCACTCCTGTGGCACAAACTACATGTGCTACAACACTGGCATTTTGCATATTGTTAATTCTTTATCTCTTTCCAACTATGTTTTAAGTGCCTCGAGGAAACAAAAACTGTTTCAGAGTTGCATTGCCTAGGTTCCAAACCCAGTGCTCTGCTTACACTCTCCTACATATAAGCCGATGGTGGCTTTGGGGTCGCCATCGCCTATACAAGTATGTACTGATTATAAATTGTCTCTCTTTTTGGAAAGGTTGCTTTTCTAACTGTCACACCGAGATGCCATGTAGAAAATAAAATCTATCACTTCAGTCAATTAAGGATAAAATATTTCTGCAAGGAAAAATATACCAGAGTAAAATCAAGACTGAAGACAACCTGGGAAATATGTGCAACTTATATCATAGGAAAAGGGTTTGTTTTCTTAGGGTATAAAATGCTTCTACAAATTGATAAGAAGATGACTAAAAACTAAACAGAAAAAAGGGTAAAGGATAAGGACAGTTTGGAGAAAAAATGTTCATTATTTATTTATAATGAGTAATGCAAATTAAAACTAGAGTGGGATTCCATTCTTTTAAATCTGACTGATAAAAAATTCCAAGGTTTGATAGCAGGGCTTGGTGGTGAATTTAAAGTGTAATGGGTACTTTTATACTTTGCTGCTAGGAATGTAACATAACACAACCTCTGTAGAAGCTGCTTTGGAAATGTCTAGCAAATTTACAAATTCATTTACTATTTATAATGAGTAATGCAAATTAAAACTAGAGTGGGATTCCATTCTTTTAAATCTGACTGGTAAAAAATTCCAAGGTTTGATAGCAGGGCTTGGTGGTGAATTTAAAGTGTAATGGTTTTATACTTTGCTGCTAGGAATGTAACATAACACAACCTCTGTAGAAGCTGCTTTGGAAATGTCTAGCAAATTTACAAATTCATTTACATTTTGTGTGTAGCATTCGCACTTCTGAGATATTATTCTATATGTATATCTGTGCACGTAAGAAATGTTGTATAGTTTTCCTTGTAATGTGTTGATTTTAATTGTGAGTTGTGACCTGTAGCTTGAAAAACCCTGCTTTCATTGTTTATATAAATGGGTTAATATTCTGGTCTAGTTATAATCAATTATAGATTAGGATTCACTTTAAATTATAAATGATAAACTGATTAAATTATAAGCTGTTGTAAATTGTGATAAGTATAAAATTCTATAATTTGGAATATTATAAGTACTTTGTGACTGAGTTTCATTAGTATTAAATATTACCTCCATACATAGTGGGCTTTCATTTAATATTCATATTTTGTAGCCCAATTGAAAACTAATTTTTTCTTATAAAGTTGCTAGATTGTTCATTTATATGCCATAGGACAGTGTTTCTCAGAGCCTTGTAGGAGGATTACAGTTGCATCAGAATCACCTGAAGTGATTGCTGAGCATGCACGGCCTCAGCTCCAGACTCCTAACATAGACTCTGCAGCCAAGAGCAGGCATGCTGCAGGGATCCTTGTGATCACAGAGGCTAATAGCTTGGGCCTCGATGAGGCCTCATGTTGAAGAGAGAGGCAGCCAGTAGTGTTCCCTCTTTTTACCATTTTGTGGTGTAAGTTTTAAGGGAGGTATAAATCAAAGCCCAGTGGGCATCCTCTTGTGGTTCACCTGGTCTTGTAATCATGGAAGATGTGCATTGGGGAAGAGGTGAGCAGAGTAGTTGCATTCTAATGGAGTTTTTAAAAACCCTGTTTCTAAAATGGGTGGAATACCATACTAAAATTATATGCTTAAGGACATTTGGTATTCTACTTAAGCATTTTATATGATTCCAGTTAAGTTTTTTTAACTTATATTTTCATATTACAAAATATAAATGTTGAGGTGGGGAAGAGATTACAGGTACTCAAGAAGAGAAAAAATTCCACAAGCTCACCTGTCCAAATGCAGCCCCACTTAATAGTTTGGGTATTTTCCTTTATGTCTTTTTTTATAATGTCTATATTTTAGAGTGTATGTGTGTATATTAGTTCATTTCTGTTGCTTATAACAGAATACCTGAAACTGGGCAATTAATAAAGAAATGAAATTTATTTCTTGTGGTTTCAGAGGCTAGGAAGTCCAAAGTCAAGGGAACACATCTGGTGAGGGTCTTCTACAGTCCTAACATCTAATCACTTCTCAAAGGCCCCACCTTTCAATTTCCATAACAGGATTTCCCACCCCCTTAACACTGTTACAGTGGAGATTGTTTCCCATGAACTTTTGGGGGATACATTTAACCCATAGCAATGTGCCTTTGTGTATTTTTCAAAAATGAGATCATATATACACATATGTATATATATCTTCTGTTTATTTATGTGTCATGAACAGCTTTACATGTCAGTTTATACACTTCTATAACTTTTTTTTTTAAAGACTACATAGTGTTGATTGATGTGAACATACATTATCTACCCAGTTTCCTACTGCTGGTGTGAGTCCTCTTTGTTTCAGAGGGAGGCAGGGCAGGTTCTCAGTTGGGCAGGCCACAGGTGAGGGCCCAGGGAACTGAGCCTTCTCCACTGCTGCCTTCTGTGTGCTGCCTTCAGAGCAAATGGGACTCGGTTTCTCCAGAGAATAGACCTCAAAGACTTTCTGTATTACCCTGGCATATCAGTTTACTCACGTGCTCTTCCAGAACATTTATAGTTAGAAAAAGGTTATACCTTAGAGTACTTTTCCCTAGATTCTCTAAGGTATTATAGAATAATTTTTACTCATGCAATGTAAAGTATGCTGCAACCGAAATAGTTTTGCAAATAATAGATGCAAGATCTGTTTTAAATATTTAGGAAAGTATTTGTCACTCATTTCCTGTCTTCAGTATTAGAACCTCCTAAATGCCACTTAATATTTAGCTGCTTTTCTGTTTATCTACCGATACTTTTATAGTCGCTATTTGGGTGCTTAACTACAGAGAGTTGGCTGATCTGTCTCCAGCACTGACTGCTATGGGCCTTGCTCCTCTCTGAGCTTTAGTTTCTTCATCTATAAAATGAGATAATAATAGTACTTGCCTACATAGAATCATGAAAATCTAATGAAATAATGTACAGGAAAGTATGTTGTAAACACCAAAGTACTTACACACACACACACACACACACACACATTTTCATATAAGTTTTAGGAAAAACAAACTAACTGAAAGCAACCGTGTGAACTCAGTCCTTTTCTCACATCATCAGTGTCTCTTCCCTCCAAAGCTGATGTCTTCACAGAGGTGTTGCTAACACATCTTACGCACTTCACAAAGCATTTTCTTTCTTTCTTTTTTTTTCTTTTTTTTTTTTTTGTCCTTTTTGAGACCGGCCGCAACACACTCAGCCAGTGAGCGCAGGGGCCATCCGTATATAGGATCTGAACCCGCGGCAGGAGCACTGCTGCGCTCCCAGCGCCGCACTCTCCTGAGTGCGCCAAGGGCTTGGCCCGCATTTTATTTCTGAAATTTGAAATGCAGTCTGTTATCTCTTCCTTACAATCTACAGCTCTGTGCCGGCACATGAAATATCAGGAATAATGCGGTGTTGACTGGTTGACTACTGAATTATGGAAATGTTGAGGGAGAGATATAGATAATTAGTGAGGCTAGGAAAATTGGTGTTGGGATCTTTTTACGTATCAGAAATAGAAATAAGAGGATAGGGTGAGAAGTAACATACAGCTAAAAAAATTATAATAGCTAACAGTGCATATTGTGTGCTAGGCACTCCTTTAAGTGCTTAAAATCTTCCTCACAATGACCCTATCAGGTAGGCTATTGTTATTAGCTCTGTTTTTTTTTTTTTTTTTTTTTTTTTTTTTTTTAAAGATGACCGGTAAGGGGATCTCAACCCTTGGCTTGGTGTTGTCAGCACCACGCTCAGCCAGTGAGCAAACCGGCCATCCCTATATAGGATCCGAACCCGCGGCCTTGGTGTTATCAGCACCGCACTCTACCGAGTGAGCCACGGGCCAGCCCGTTATTAGCTCTCTTTTATGGACTTGGGCACATAGGCACAAAGGTACCTGCAGATTTGCCCAGAGCTGCTTAAGGGATTGGGACCCAGGCTGCCTGATTGCACTCTTAACCGACACATGGCTCTTGACCAATGCACAATTCTGCTTCCGAAAGTACTTTTTAAGCAGTTCTTTGTTTAGATGAAAATAGAACTGGAGGAAAATTAAGACAAAAATATTAAAAAAATGAAAATTTTCCCTATTTTAGTGTTTAGTACTTTTATCATCAAAGCCGTTTCACTCCTAAAGGGGTATAAGAAAATAGAGTATTTTTGATGACCTAAATGCTGCATGTTACTAAGGCTGGACACCAGAGTAAGGAAGAGCAACTGCAGAGAGTACTTAGCAAAAAAGGCAGGTGTGTGTAGTCCAAAGACTGTAGAACATAGGATTCATCATTTATTAGAACATGTCTTTGAACACATTTTCAATTTGAGATAAACGTTGGTGGTATAGTGGCGAGCATAGCTGCTTTCCAATTAGAGATGAAAAGTTTCAGCCTCCTACTTGCATACCTAGGGAACATAGTCTACTCTTAAATCTCTTAGAAATATTTCCTTGTTCTCCAAGGAATTTAAATATGTTAATATTTTCACCTCTCCACAGAAAACCACCTTCAAAGAAGGGAGTTTTCAGGCTGAAAGTTCTTACGTTGGAATAAATACTAGCCTCATCCTTTGTGCAACCCAGGCTGAAAAATACTGTCTCCTTTTTTCAAATTAGCATGTCTTAAGAACTGCATTTATTTAAGGACTTATAGCTATTTCAAAGTACAAATTTTGGTTCCTGAACCAAGTATGTTAACATATGGCAAGGATCAGGAAAGCTAAGGGAGCACCAGTGATTAGAGAACAGTGGCCAAGCCATAGAGGAAAGGGAGCTGCTCCCCTAAGTTTGTTGTGGCTTTGTAACAGTCAGTGACAGGAAGCTGATGTGTCGGGCCAGAACAAGGAATTGAGCACTGCTGAGTACCTGTAAGTGCCCAGTTCTCTGCCAGGTCAGGAGGTACAGTAGTGAACCAGACAGACTCCGTCTCTGCCCTGTGCAGCTCTCAGTCTGGTGGGAAAACAGCAGTAACTGTGTATGGCAGGTGATATGCTGGGATAGGGCTGGTGATCTAAACGAGGTGATGGGTCTGATGGTGGCTGGCGTTTTGGGATCCCTTCGGAGGGGTGGGTATGGGCTTCTAGTGTAGTTCAGCTTTCCATTCCTGGGCAGCCTGTAGAATTAAAATGGTATATCAAAAATAAATTTGGTATTACTGATTTAACTTAATGACTTATGTAATTATAGTCAACTTGGAAATCATAACATGTTCTTCCATTTCAGCTTGAAACTCAAAACTACCAGTTTATAATGTTTATTTTTTTAACTTACACATTTTTTTTTGCTAAGAAGAGAATCTGTACTTTTTCATTTTAAAACTTTGTCATATTGCCTCATCTTCATTTTAAGTGATTTTATATAATTATGAGTTCTGAAATAGTAAAAATTGGAATATTTTTGTTCTTTGTTAGAATTTCTCTGCAAAGAATGTCCAAAAATTCATATTCACATTGATCGTATAGACAAAAAAGACGTCCCAGAAGAACAGCAGTCCATGAGAAGGTGGCTTCATGAACGCTTTGAGATAAAAGATAAGTGAGTAGCCGCAGCGCCAACACTTCACAACTTTTATTCAACTGGATTTCACGGTAGTCAACAATTTGAGGCTGTACAGTTTTATTATCCCAAGAATGCTGTTTATAAACTAAAGTGAGATCTTACTCCATGCATACGTGTTCACGTTCTGAACTTTACTTTTACCTGTCACTGTGAAAGAACTTGTTATGGTGATCCTATTTTCATTTATAGTATTTCCTGGACAATACTTTTTGGTAAGGTAAAAATTTTAAAAACACACAAAAAAATCTTTCCAGTGTAAGATACCTAAATCTGCCTTCCCAGGTTCTCACCTGGGAGATAAAGTGGTGTCACTGTGTGAGGACCAGCTGTCATGCCAGCCATGCGTGGAAAAGCAATGCTTTGGGGAATAGAGGATTATGTCTGACATGCAGGTAGACATGATGCCCAGTATACTTGTGGGGGCAGTTGACATTTTTGAATGCTGAAACGTCTTCTTTCTGTTGTAAATATTTTGGGGCCTAAGTGGTTTCTGGGATTAACCTTGTGTGTGTTTGTGCTGGTATCATTTTGGAGCAGACAGTGGTGTTGAATCTTGCTCAGAGTAACCTGTAAGTAAACTACAGGCATATAAGGATACCACTGAGGTGAGCATAGCTTAAAGAGGTCAGCCTGAGTGAGTGTGATATGCCACTTACTAAAGAGACAGCCTTGAAGCAGCAGGTGGCATCAGTAGACTATATTAGTACCTTTGACTTAATACAAGAAAGAAATTTTAGAATTTTCTTTTATTTTTAGGAAGATAAAAAGTGAGTCTTAAATTTAGATGTGATGTTTAGAAATTGAGTTTTGTTACATGAAAATATTTTCTCGGATGAAAACTTCAAGATACTTCTTTACTGTTTATTTTGCTGTCAGTGAAAGTTTTATCCTTTCTGATGCATATCCTTTTTTTTGAGAGATACATTTTGAAAAATTATACTTTTTATCTTTGTTTTGGAAAAATGGATCCAAAGTTATGGGATGCATCATTTACTAAAAATGAACCCAAAGTTATAGGATGCGTCATTTACTAAGACTACACTGAAAAGTGTGTGTTTTTTTAAAGACAAAACAATACTTTCAGAATTATATTCAAAAATTTTACTTGCTCTTCTCAGGAGACTGCCATTGTTCTCTTTCACCTTGTATTACAGTAAAATATTTCCCAGTTAATCTCTTGGGTTGACTTGAACAAATGAAAATTACTAAAAGTGTACTAAGTTGAAAATGAAACTTTATGTTTAATTTCCATCTTTCATTGACTATCAGTTGTGTATGACATAATTTATTAAGCCATTCAGAGCCACTTTAGTTACGGAAAAAATCTAAAAGTAAGATTTACGTACACTGATATGAAAAACTCTTCAGAAGAAAGAACACTGTGTTTAATATCCCATTTATTTTATGTTGTACGTATTTATGTGTATTTAGGATGAGTCTGGATATTTTCAAACAGTGGTTATCTCCAGGGAATGCAGTTTGGAAGGCAATAGACTTTGTCTTTCTATACTTTTGTGTTTGAGAGTATTATGTGGAATATGTTCTGCTAATATAACTTTACATATTTTGAGTAATATGGGTAAATTAGTTAACTATGCTGTTGTTTTCCTTCTTTTACCCGCTTTTATAATTCCATAGGAGTTAGGGCTTTGGGGGGAAACTCCATGTATATGAACTGCTGGCCTTTGCTTTGACTTCTAATGGAATGGGAGTTGTACGAAGGAGAAGCAGCAAATGAGTTCTATTCCCCTAGTGGGAGTTAGGTCACTACAAAATTTTATAGATCAAAAGCTTAAAAAACAAAAACATTCTCATAAAGTGGCTTAAAACCATCTGTTTTGAAGTATTACATGTAATACAATGCATATATATTAGTCAGAGCATACTAAAGGTATTTGAAAAGACTAGAAACTTCTATTAAATGAAGTCTCTGAACTTTTTTATAATTTATTCTTATTTTCCAAGGACCTAAAACTTCTCCAGCATGTAGTAGGCACCCAACAGTTATTTGTTGAATTGAAATATTGAAATAACTACAACTGAAACTTTAAATTTTATTTTATTTTTTCATTTTGGCTGTAGGCTGCTTATAGAATTCTATGATTCACCTGATCCAGAAAGAAGAAACAAATTTCCTGGGAAAAGTGTTAATTCCAAACTAAGTCTCAAGAAGACTTTACCATCAGTTTTGGTCTTAAGTGGTTTGACTGCTGGCATGCTTACGACCGAGGCTGGAAGGAAGCTGTATGTAAACACGTGGATTTATGGAACCTTACTTGGCTGCCTATGGGTCACTATTAAACCATAAAGAGGTAGCTGTCTCCAGTCAGTAGGATGTGCTACACTGTCTGTTAGTGATGGCTGCACATTGACAGCTGCACATTACATCAAACTGTTTCCTGAATTTAATAAGAAGTGTAAATAAAGCCTTGTTGATTGAACATTGGATAAAACAGAATTTGTGACTAAAGCCGCTATGCAGTTGGTCTTGGGCAAACATACGTGGTTTTACTTTAGTTCTGGAGCTTCTGGACAGGTCAAAGCTAATGGAGTGTAGACAGTTCTTTACATTTCTAATGAACTAATGTCAGCTTGAGGAGATTATTATAGGATTGCATAATTTGTTATTGTTTTGTAATTCAGATGGCTGTATTTTTGAACATTAATTTGCAGCATATTTCACTGTATTTGTTATTTTCAATTTATTGCAACTTGACAGCTCCAGTAAAGTATTTAGCATCCTGCAGCTATGCAGTATTTTGCTTTTTGCTTAATTTCTGCAAGTCAATGAAAGAAATTGTACTTATATATCGAGATGTTCAAGGAAAAGGGCAAGAAATGTCCTTGGGGAAGAAGCTCTGTTTTTAGCACATGTTTTTATTATATTACATTATTAGCTGTTTTTACTTACTTTATATTTGCAAAATAATTAACATTTCTAATATTTATTGAAATTGCTTAATTTTGCACAACCTGTCCTCTACACAAAAGATTAATGTATGAAATATGAGAATGAAATTTAAGTTAAAATTGTGACTGATTCATTGTAGCAGAACTTTAAACTGCCCAGCTTTTCAAAGATTTAAGCTATGCTATTAGTACTTCCTCATGTCTGTGCCATAAGTGCTTGAAAACATTAAGGTTTCCTGTTACTTTTAATGTCAGAATAATCGTTGTGAATGTTCGTTGGATCCCGAATCCACAGATAATTTGAGGTGATGGGAACCTGCAAACATTCCGATGAAATTTATTAGCATGTGCCTTTTCCTGTTTCTCTTTGATTTAGCAAAATATTTGGTACAAAAATCATTTTTATGTTATCATGGTGGATTTCCACTGCATTCTAGTCCTTTTCCTTTGGATTCCCATCAGTGGTGCTGCTCAGTGGCTTACCCATAGACTTGCAGCGTGAAGAGATGCAGAACCATCCAGTGTTGCTGTTTCAATGTTGAACTCTACGCTCTTGTGAGTGAGCTTCACCGGCTACAGCAGAGGGCACTTTGCATTGTCTCGTGTCAAATTCTCCTTTCTCAAGCCAGTGAAATACAGACTTAATTCATCAGGATGGAGTGAATTTATTTCCCATTAGGTTTAGTGGAGCTACACAGTTAATATGTATTGCCTCAGAACAAGAGCTGTGTTTCAGGAACTGAATCACACTATTTTCAGTCATGGAACAATACATCCCATGGAAGAAAACCGTTTTTAAGTGTGATCCTCTCTCTTTTTATGTTATCATGTAAACTTGATTGCCCACTAGTCCTCTAAGATAACATTTCTGCTTACTGCTAATGGATTTTTGTTGCAAAATTATATCAGTGGCCCAGATGAAACAAACAAATTGAATCAAGATAAACGAAATGAAAAAATAATTAAGGGAAATTTCTCTATGTCACACTGCTTCTCTAAAACTGGAGAACAAACCATTTCAAGCAATGCCTTTGAAAAGTCATGTGGTATGAATTGGTTTGTATATGAATATGTATATGTTTGTACACACGCATATACACACATTCCCATGGGGTAGAGTGGCCTAATTATGAATGGGGGCATAAGTAAAACTTGTGAAAAGAGTTCTTATGCCAAAATGAAATTTTCTCTTACCTGTAAAGTGAAATTTACATCAATCCTGTGTCTTTGTTATTTTTTTTTAACTATCCTAAATTTAGAACTTATTTTTAACTAGATCAGAATAAATGTAAGTTGTGGAACTTACTTTGAATATCATAGATATATTTAAATTTAAATTTTGAAAGGCAATATCATTGGAATTATGTGGATTACAACACATTTTAACAAGGTTAAGTGACCTGCATAAGATCACTTGATTGTTGTATTTCTTAGGACTATATGTACATTCTTCTCATAAAAGGTCTATAAAATTGAAAAGTTGAAAAAATTTCATATCAAAATGTTTGGAAAATTAGAAGCTTCTCCTTAACATGTATTGATTTTTGACACGAATTATTATTTTCTAAAATTAAGAGCCTACCTGTAGTTCTTTTCACATAATATCATTTAAGCTTCTGTTTGTATTAATATTGTTGATTTACAGTTAAGTTATTACTTAGTTTTTCTTTATAAGAATGCCATTAATGTGCATGCTTTTATGTTTTTCAGAAAAAGGTGTGTTTGGATGAAAGTAAAAAAAAATAAAATCTTCCTCTGTCTCTGTTTGTGTTGTTTAATATTGCAACCCAGAAATTCATCAACAGTCTCCTATTACATAAAATAGGCTTAATGACTGGCCCTGCATTCTGAATTTATAAAACTATAATATTTTTTTATTAAGTATTGAGCAAAGTTTTTAAAAAATATATTTAAGTACTTAAAATTTTGAAGCTGTCTATTAGTTTGGTTATGTAAACTCATCTGTAATTTATAAGATATATGGCAGATATTAGTTGCTCGGCAATTCTGTAATCATTAGCCTGATCTAAGTGAAACTTGTCAAATGCCTGAGTTAGCCAGGTTGGTGAATAAAGGTGCCAGTCCTAATCTGGCTGATTCTTACATCATATTTACTAATAGTTTCTTTCATATGTTTCATTTCCATGTGTTTTTTTTTTTACTTAGAGTAGTACCAATTTTTCTTTGTACAGATTACATAAGCTTTGTTTTTTCCTTTGTAATATGTGGTTTATTATTACATTCTTTGTATATAGGTCTGTGTCAATCAAGTGATCTCACTAGGCCAACCACTAAAAAGAAATATAATTTGCCATCAAGTATAGGCAAAAGTAACTCTCATATATATACCATACCAATATTTGAGAAGACAGAAATGAGTATCAAAGTAGTATTTCATGTGTACAATTGCAAGTATATAGCAAAAATAAATTTAAACCTTAATAATGTTTGTTTTTGAAGTATTTACACTGAAGATGAGTAAAAGGTTTTCTTGGCAGATATTCAAGATACCACCTTGTACTAAGTTACATACCTTTCTTTGTAATAAGCAGAATTTTTTTCTCCCTTTTGGACCAATTTTTATTATGAGTAACACATACTTTTAGATTAAAGATTGGCTAACTTGAAATATGCTACCATTTAGTATAATTGGGCGTTACATAAAAAATATGTAACACCCAAGCATTAGAATGAAAATCATTACTTTGGTTAAACTAATATTTGGAATGTTCATATATTGTATAGCTAAAATATTCATGTAACTGAATTTAAAATTTTTTATTCAAATATAATGGGATGCTTATATGTACAGTTACTAGTTTATTTCAGTTTAGAATAGTTATGACTCAGACATTGTCCTCAAGATTTCATTTGATGTCTTTTTCAATTTGTGTGGTAAAGTAAATCTATTACTTTTAGCAGTTGGGGGGGTCACTCATACATGAGGTCATAATACACGAGGTCAAAGAGATATATACCTGGTTATTACCTGGTTATTATATAATATATATGTAATGCAATGTGTAATAATAGCTGGCTATTGTCCTGAGCAGAAAAGTAGTTATTTTTAAGAAAGCCACTTCAAATAGAAAGCCCAAGTGCCTCTCATGTACTGAAGGGAATCTGACATACGGAGCAAACTCTGAATAAGTGTTTATTGATGGTGATGAGACAGGTCAGGTTTTCCTGAATTATTAATGGTTCATAATTTTATATGCTACTACTATTCTCTGTGTCTAGCAAGAGAGAATACTTGACTAACTTATCTCCCTATGGTATTTTCAGAATAAATTCTGACTTACATTATTGGGTTTAATGATGCTTCATTAATTCAGTAAAAAGAAAATAATGAATCTTAAAAGTAGGTATTTGTTGATAAAATATCTACTTGGTAATAAAAAGTTATTTCATATATATGTGATAAAGTGTATGTATGTTTTGTATATGTATGTATTATATATGTTTATGTTTTATTGCCAAATCCAGCTATGAAATACTACATGTTATTTTGAAGGTTCCTTTTGTTTTGGTGCCAGCCCAGCTCTGTTGAGTGTTACTCATGTCAGGCAGTGTGCTAAGCCTCCTGCAGGCATCGTCTCATCTAACTGTCCTGATAAGCCCTGTGCCACAGTGTAGCTTGGCTCCTGCGAATGTCTGCAGACAGACTGCCAGGTTTGGATCTGGTTCTGCCATTAGCTAGCAATTTGATCTTGGGCAAGTTATTTAAATTTTCTGTGCCCTAAGTTTCTCATGTGTAAAATACAATAATAATCATGTTAACCTCAAAGGGTTGTTGAGGCCAGATGAGTTTAATATATGTAAAACACTGTATGTAGTACATGGAACATGGAAGCTAAATAAATTTCATTCACTCCTCCCAGTTTTATAGATGAGGAAATTGAGGCTCGGAGAGTTTGAATAAAATTTAAAGTCATACAACTAATACTTCTGGAAGAAAAATGTGCTCTCATTCTTTTCTGTTTAACAAAGACAGTGCAGTATTTCAAATTATTTAAGTGCCTTTAAAAGTGTTTGATCATGGCTGGCCAGGTAGCTCAGCTGGTTAGACCATGGTGTTATAACACCAAGGTCAAGGGTTCAGATCCCCACACCAGCCAGCCACCAAAAAAAAAAAAAAAAGTGTTTGATCATAACTATAATCTAGATTATAGGTTTGTTTAAAATTTAGGTCAAGCAATATGGAGATTACAAAAGGAAAGATTCTCCATCTTTTATGGATCCCAACTCTGCAGGACAGGAACCTCCTCAGCCTGAGGATCCACACTCAGTCAGTTTGGAGAGACCATGAGATTTTTTTGACTCAATAATTTTCTGTATAGAATTATGGTAGTTGAAGTTTGACCTTTTAGTAGAAAGTCAGGCAAAATTAATAGCACCACAGCTGTTTTTCCATTTAAAGATTGCTGGGATTGTGTTTATTGTTCTCAAGGTGTTCTAAAAGTGCAGCCAGAACTGTGTTCACTTCACAATGACTCATGGAATACCCGCTCTTTGTAGGTGCTGTGCTGGGGGCTGAACTAGCACAGTTATTTCCAGAGGTTCCTACTTACGGTGTGCAGGAGGCTTGATGAAGACTAGCAAGACCAAAGACATATTAGGGAATGAAAGAAAGGCTTGGCCACTTTCCTGTAAGGACTAGTTACTGCACACACAAACGGCTTTGTCACCTTTACCACATCCTCCATTCAGATTGTGGCATGATGTTCAGGGGATCTATGTGGAGGATCACTGTCTTTGACGCAATCCATTGTTAGCTTGCTCTTCATGGCAGGCAGCTGTTAGATGAGTCCAGAAACTGTTGCTGCTCCAGTTCAGGATCACATCACTGAGGACACCGTCAGTAGCACACACTGTGCGTCTCTTAAAATAGTGACTTTCTGTTGTCTAGATGATTGAAACAAGGTTCTTTATAATTCACTGTTGTGATGTTTCTTGTTGGTGAAGGAGATTTGAAGAGGAGTGGCTGGGGAGCAAATGGAGGGTAGAGGTTTCGAGCATGGATTCCGGGGCCAGGCTGGAACGCCGTCCTGCCACTAGCCAGCTGAGGGACTCTTGACCAGTTCCTTAATCTCTGTGCCTCTATTTCCTTAACTACAGAAGGAGAAAATAATGATGGTCCTACCTCATAGGGTTGGTGTGAAGATGAAGTGAAATAATCTATGTAACGTACTTGGATTAGTGCCTGACACATGCTGAGCACCAAAGGTTAGCTGTTGTTACTACTACAAGTCTGTGCTATGATGGTGGCACCACCCTGTGAAGGTTAATTCTAGGTGCCAACTTGATTAGATGAAGGAATGCTGAGAAACCTGGTAAAGCTATCTTTTTAGGTGTGTCCATGAGGGTGTTTCTTGCAGAGATTAGCATGAGAGTCTTGAGTGGACTGGGTGGGAAAGACCCACCCTCAGTGTGGGCAGGAAGCATCCAATCTGCTGGGGGCCCAGAGAGAACAAAGGACAGAGGAAAA